TTTCCTGGTGCACACATACAGTCACTCCTTGAGAGCAGTGGGTCTCAGTTGGGTAGAGGGAGTTGCCCCATGGACATCTGGTCTAGACATTCTTGGTTGTCACATTTGGAGAGAGGTACTAATTGGCAAACAGTGGGCAGAGGCCAAGGATGCTGCTCAATAGCCTATAGTGCATAGGATAGTTCTCTCCCAACTCCCACATTTCCACATAACAAAGAATTGCTAGTGGTTCTCAAGGTGAGAAATTCAGTTCTAGAATGTATTTTGATTCGAGTTGTGATATTGGCAGTTGGGTGAGGGTGGTGGTGTTTCTTTTCCACACTGCCTAGCCAAATGACCAGTCACGATTTCCAGAATACTTTCTGTATTTTGTCTGAGTAGCATTGCTACCTCTGATTTAACCAAGTACTCAAATGTATATAGACTATTCCCAGGTTCTTAAAAATGAATGGAGATTTCACAAATTCTATGTTAAATAAGGGAAACTTAAATTGGACATTTTTATTTCTTAAATGGAGAGAAGACCCTATTCCTGTGCTTTTTAAGATACGAATTATTTAATTGACTTTCATTGTCTTGCAGATGCTTGGACTCTGTGAATAAAGACAACCTAACTTTCTCAGCTCATCATGGCTTCCACCTCAAGGTAGAACTGCTGTTACATGAGTGCTTTCTGGAAGATTTTACCCCTCTTCGTTTTCAAAAGGCCAAGTCCACGGCCTCTTTAGCACTAAAACCTGTTGGCCTCACTGAGCAGTCATTGTCCCGGAAGTGTAGGAGGAAGAGGGAGTAAAGGAGAAGGGAGAAAAGCTGAAGCAGAGAGGAAGGTGTGCTTGGTACAGGATTGACCATTAGCATTAGTGTCTACCCAAAGAACCAAATCCACTGCCATAACGTCCATTCCTACTCATAGCAACCCTATAGGGTAGAACTGCTCCATAGAGTTGCTAAGGCTGTACATCTTTATGAGGAGGAGGACAGCCTGTGTCTCTGGTTGAACAGCTAGTGGTTTTGAATCACTGGCCGTGTGGTTTACAACCCCACTTTTAACTTACTGTTCTGCCAGGGCTCCTAAAAAATGAATTTTGCTTTTTTCATCTTTCAGGATCCCATATAGTTACCTAAGGGGCTCCTTTGGTACCTATAGGCTTTTCCACACTAAATACTTGAATAACTATATATAGACGGTGTTTGCAAGATCTGGGGCTTCCATCTGTAGACAATTGGACATCCCCTTACAGAAGGGTCGCAAGGAAGAGACGAGCCAGTTTGGGTGCAGTAAAACACCGATGGAACATACAACTTTCCTCCAGTTCCTTAATGTTTCCCTCCTCTCCCCCCATTATCATGATCCCAATTCTACCTTACAAATCTGGCTAGACCTGCGCGTGTACATGGGTACAGATAAGAGCTGGAAACACAGGGAATCCAAGCCAGATAAACCCCTCAGGACCAATATTGGGAGTAGCCATTCCCGGAGAGGAAGAGGAAGGTAGGGGGAGAAAGGGGAAACCAATCACAGGGATCAACATATAATACCCTCCCAGGGGGATGGACAACAAAAAGTAGGTGAAGGGGGACATAGGTCAATGTAAGACATGAAAAAATAATAACAATTTATAAATGATCAAGGGTTCTTGAGGGAGGAAGGGAGGGGGAAAATGAGGAGTTGATACCAGGGGCTCAAGTGGAAAGAAAATATTTTGAAAATGATGATGGCAACAAACGTACAAATGCGCTTGACACAATGTAAGTATGTATGTATTGTGATAAGAGCAGTATGAGCCCCTAGTAAAATGATTAAAAACAAAAAAGATCTGTGGGCTTGTGAGAGTGGTAGAAACCCCGGTTTTGGAGGCATATAGGTACCAAATGAGTCTAGGGCCAGGAAGGAGCAAAGTTAACTAGGACTTGTCCCTGTCTTCTGAGACCGTTGCTTCAGTCTGAGGTCCACAATAGGTTGAGTTTCCGGCTTCTGTCTTTCAGGCAGCTTTCTTTGCTGGCCCACTCAGAGCTAGCTGTATGACTGCCGTGTTCTGGTGGTCCGTTTTCTGTCCCCCAGCAGCAAGCTTGTCATGTTTGAGTGAATCGGTAATACTGCCTCAATTCCAAAGTCCATGGATAGGGCTTGCAGTGATATAGAGGGAGCATCCAAAATTCATGAAAAATGGAATCAAAAGACAAGGACAAGTTCAAAAGGGCTGGGAAAGCAGGAAGAGAGGAAACAGGAAACAGGGAGGAAGTGGTGTAAAGGATGTTACATCGTGGGATTGCAGTCAATGGGATGAAAACAAATGTATCTGAATTGTGACAAGCAAAACTAACTCGCCTGGAAATCTTCACCCAACAATAAAAAGTTTTTTCAAAAAGATAATGGAAATATGTCATGAATTTTTTGAAGATTCTCACAGCCTGCATCCTTCCTCTGGGGCAGGAGGGTCTTTTCTCACAGACGTTAGGGCCCACAGGTAGATACAAAGGTGTAGGGAAGGTGTACACAGCAGTGACATGATTACAAGCTGGGTGTGAGCATCATGGACCTCATTGGCCTTGGTCCCTGGCACATCCTTTTTTGGACCTCCTCTCCTCCCTGCCATTCCTGTGCGCACCATGCCTGCAGCCTCACTGGCCTCCTCATTCTTCCGCATGTCAAGACCCTAAGCTCCAGAGGTCTGTGTGTGTGGCTTACTTCCTGGAACACCCTCCAGTGGACTTGCTCCTGCAAATCTGTTGGCCCATCCTGTCGGTGAGACTTCCCCTGATCGGGCTGTGTGAAGTAGCACTCCCAGCGCTGCATTCTTGTCTCTCGCCCAAGATGGCATTCATTGCCACCTGCCATTATCCTGTCGGTTTACTTGTGTGCTTCTCTGATGGCTGTTTCCTTCAATTAGAACAAAGTGCCGTGTAGATTAGGAGTGGAGTTTGCACCTATTAAATACACATCTCTTGACATATATTGGTTCCGAATATTTAGGGAGTAAGAGTTTCAATAACAGGGAAGTCCTTGTTTTACAAATATGTTTGGGTTTTGAATCATAGTTAGCAAGGAGTAAGAGATCAGATAGGAGCCATCTGATAATCTCTTTGAATCTGTTCAGCTCCTGATTTGGGGTAGTGACTGTTCAGGGAGAGAGAATTTGAGAACTGGAGAAGAATTGAAATGCATTTGTCAAAGGAACAAAAGAAAGGAAAGATATAGGCTCAGCCAGACGCACGACAGCAAAGCTGCTGGACCCCTGAGTGAGGGGACAAAAATGTAGCATCACTCCAGTACCCTGGGCTTCCTATTGGCAGTTATTGTGATCTGTGGTGATGGTAGCGGCATCTGGATTTGATCACAAGAGATAAGGATCACATTTTTCTTCTTGTTATAAGTTGCTATTGAGCCGATCCAAACTCCTGACAGCCTGGCGGTACAGAATAGAACTGCACCATAGCGTTTTCAGGGCTGTGACCTCTCAGAAGCAGACCACTAGCCTGTCTTCTGAGACCACCAACCAGTCAGCTAGTAGTTGAGTGTTTGGCTCCGTGGGCCACTTAGGTACTCCTGTTGTGCTCTTAGCACACATTTAAGAAGAAAACCAATGAACAAGCTGCCACTGAGTTGACAGTGACTCACGGTGACCTAGTATGTGTGAGTAGAACTATGCGCTGTGGGGTTTGCAATGGCTGACTTTTCAGAAGTGGATTGTCAGATCTATCTTCCTAGCTAACTCTGGGTGGACTCAAACCGCCAAACCTTAGGCTAGCAGCCAAGTCCATTACTCATTTGCACTATCTGTAGACTCCTTGAGAAAAATGGAAGTACATAATGGCTTTTTACAGTGGCTCCATCATGAAAATTTTCTCACACGTCAAAAAGAATAATCTGGGAAATCCTTGTACCTGCTTTCTGTGTTCAGTGGTGGCAGATCCGGGACACTGCCCAAACTAAGATGCTGTTCAACAAGCTCACCCTCTTCACTGGCTGGCATTTTAGCACTGTTTTATTTCATTTTTTTTCTGAGAAACTTCCTTCCCTGCATGGGACCGAGACTACGACTGCGGCCCTCTGAAAATATTGGCTGTGTTTTCTTTTATTGCAGGAGTGCTATTGCTGGGATAGATGCCCGCCCGAAGGTGAAATCTGCTAAGCTGCTGAAGGTTCTGAATTCTTTGGAAGAAGAGGCTGACGATGACAGGGAAGACATTTTCATCTCTCCACCCAAGAATGCTTCAGGGGACTTCACGGATGAGGACTCAGGTGATGAGGACGGCCAGCGTGCGACTCATCTGCCAGGGAGCATGCTGCACGCCACTGTCCTGTGTGAAGATTCTGAAACTGGGGAAGATAACGATGATCCAGAGCTGCAGCCAGCCAAGAAGAGACAGAAGACAGCAGTCAGACCTCAACGAGTTTGGATCAAAAGGGATCTCCAACCCAACCTTGGCAGCTGGACAGCATCAGATCCTCATATTGAGTATCTCAAGAGTCAGGAACTGAGTCCTGTTGGCCTCTTTGAATTGTTTTTAGATGAAGAGACCATTAATTTCATTGTCAATGAAACGAATCGTTATGCTTGGCACAAAAATGTCAACCTGGGTCTCACAGCCCAGGAATTGAAGTGCATTTTGGGCATTTTGATTTTAAGTGGGTATATCTCTTATCCGAGGAGAAGGATGTTTTGGGAAACATCTCCTGATTCACATCACCACCTTGTGGCTGATGCCATTCGAAGGGACAGATTTGAACTGATTTTCTCCTACTTGCATTTTGCAGATAACAATGAACTTGATGAAAGTGACAGGTTTGCCAAGGTCAGGCCTCTCATTGTGCGAATGAACAGCAATTTCCAGAAGCATGCACCCTTGGAAGAGTTCTATAGCTTTGGCGAGTCCATGTGTGAGTACTTTGGGCATCGGGGATCCAAGCAGATGAACACAGGAAAGCCCATCCGCCTCGCTTACAAGATCTGGTGTGGGACCACCAGCAGAGGCTATTTGGTGTGGTTTGAGCCCTCACAGGGCACATTGTTCACCAAGCCAAATAAGGGTTTGGATTTAGGAAGCAGTATGGTGATAAAATTTGTGGATGCACTTCAGGAGCGAGGCTGTCTGCCATACCACATTTTTTTTGACAAGGCTTTTACAAGTGTCAGACTGATGTCCATTTTGAGGAAAAAGGGGGTGAAGGCCACAGGAACTGTCCGTGAGTACAAAACGGAGAGCTGTCCCCTGAAAGATCCCAGAGAACTGAAAAAAATGAAGAGGGGTTCATTTGATTACAAGGTTGATGAGCGTGAGGAGATCATTGTGTGCCGCTGGAATGACAGTCACATGGTCAACATCTGCTCCAATGCAGTGGGCATAGAGCCTGTGAGGCTCACCAGTCGTTATTCAGGGGCTGGAAAGACACGGACTCAGGTCCACCAGCCATCACTGGTGAGGCTGTATCAAGAAAAGGTGGGAGGTGTTGGGCGCATGGACCAGAATATTGCTAAGTACAAGGTGAAGATAAGGGGCATGAAGTGGTACTCAAGCTTCATTGGCTATGTCATTGATGCTGCCCTCAACAATGCATGGCAGCTGCACAGGATCTGCTACAAAGACGCTCAGGTGGACCTCCTTGCATTCCGGAGATATGTCGCCTGTGTGTATCTGGAGACTAATGCTGACACATCATCCCAAGGAAGGCGGGGCAGGAGACTAGAAACAGAGAGTCGCTTTGATATGATTGGCCATTGGATCATCCACCAGGACAAGAGGACCCGCTGTGCACTCTGCCACTCTCAGACCAACACCCGGTGTGAGAAGTGCCAGAAGGGTGTTCATGCCAAGTGCTTTCGGAAGTACCACATCAGGTGATGCCACAAGGGAGGAGCTGGGGCAGAGAGGAGCCACACTCCATGACTGGCTGCAAAGCACACTGAAGGGTTTCCCGGTATATGCTCAGAGGCTTAGTTTGTTTTTAGTAACATATTTACTAGTTACATGGGAGAGTTGGAGATCTTTTGTTTTACTTGTATGTTGGAAAAAGAGACTTGAGTCCATGATGATTTAATTTTATGTTTTTTCTCCATCACCATTATAATTTCCTTTTTCATTCTTCTATGCCTTCAAATAATGTAAAACAATATTATTCATATTAGGAATCACACAGGTTTGGAAATGTGTATTTTATATGGTTATTTCAATTTAGAGGTCCTTTTTTGTTCGAATAAACATCTCCTCTGCCGATATGATTGAGTTCTAGTAAGGACAATCAAACATAACCAAAAACGTTGGAAAAGATAGCTTCAATAGTAAAAATGTCTTGCCATCACATTCTACGGTTTATGATCCAAGATACAGATAACACTGTTGTTAGTATTGTGGGGACAATTCCGTCTTATAGCAGCCCTGTGTCCACAGAAGGAAACACTGCCTGGTCCCGCACCATCCCTCACAGATGTTCTATGTTTGAGCCACTGTGTCTGTCCGTCTCAGTGCAACTTGAATTTACTCCTTCAGTACCATTTTTTCTTGCTCATATGCTACCCCTTGGAATGGTGGGATGTTGACCAGTTCTTTTTGGTAAAGTGACTGTGTATTCTCTGCATCATCTTTAGCTGCTTCTTGCATCACTCAGTATTTTGCCCATAGAATCTTTCAGTATTTCAACTTGAGGCTTGAATTTTTTCTTGAGCTCTCTCAGCTTAAGATCTGCTGAGTGTTTTCCTTCTTTCTTTTCTAACTCTAGGTCTTTGCACATATCATTATAACAGTTTACTCTGTCTTCTTCCACTGTCCTTTGAAATTTTCTGCACAGCCCTTGGACTTCATTTCTTCCCTGCACCTTAGCTCCTCTATGATTAAGAGTAAGTCTTAGAGTCTCTTCGGATATCTACTTTGCTTTTTTTCTTTCTTCCCTGTCTTAAATGACCTTTTGCTTTCTTCATGAAGCATATTCTTGATGTCATCCCACAACTCATCAGGTTCCGTCGTTAGTATTCAGTATATCCACTCTGTCCTGGAAATTCAGGTGGGATCTATTCAAGATCGTTTTTTTGGCTTTTGTGGACTTGTTTTCATTTTCTTCAGGGTTTTAAAAAAATCATTTTATTGGGGGCTCGTACAACTCTTATCACCATCCATCCATCCATCCATCCATCCATTGTGTCAAGCACATTTGTACATTTGTTGCCATTATCAGCTCTTCATTTTCCCCCTCCCTCCCCCAACTTGTCCTCCCCTCCCTCCCTCCCGAATCCTTGATAATTTATAATTTTTTTTTTCAAGTCTTACACTGACTGATGTCACCCTTTACCTACTTTTCTGTTGTTCATCCCCCAGGGAGGGGGCTGTTATATGTAAATCATTGTGATTGGTTCCCCATTTTCTTCAGTTTTAACATGAACTTACAAATGAGCAATTGATGGTCTGTTTCTGAGGCAGCCCTGGACCTGGTTTTAGCTGCTGATCTTGACCGTCTCTATGGTCTCCTCACACAGATGGAGTCAATTTGATTTCTGTGTATTTTATCTGGAAAAGTCCACATTTATAGTCACTGTTTGTGCCGGAAAAATGTAGTTGTTATGAAGTCATTGATTTTGCAAAATTCTATCATGCAATCTCCAGTTTATTTTCTTTCATATTTTTCATATGAAATAATATGTTTTCATATTGTTCATTCCTCTTTCCCCCCAATTTTTGCATTTCAATCACCAATAATTACCAATGTCCATTATCTTCGTTACATATTTGATCAAATTTAGGCTGAAGACATTGGTAGAATTCTTTAATTTGTTCATCACTAGCTTTAGTGGTGGGTGTATATATTAGACAAGGTTCTCTAGAGAAGCAAAAGTTGGACACTTAGGAATATATATACATAAGTAGATACATTTATATAGCAAAAAGGAATTATAATAGCAAAGCAGCCCACAGAGCTATATGGAGGATTCAGTCCAACTCACTTTTGTGTGTCAGTTAATATACCGGAGGGCTGTCCAACTCACACAGCCACTAAACCTAAAGGCCAAAGACAGAGGTAGGAAGATGAGGAGTGGTGAAGTGTAGGGGATGTCAGTAGGGCAGTGTGGCAAAGCAAGTTCAGGTGGAGCCTAACAGTGTGGCAATGCAAGGTGGCTGCCTGGTGGTGCAGTGTGTTCATGCCAGAGAAGTCGACCACAGGCAGCACAGTTAAGTGAAGCAAGGTGGCTCACAGGCAGCAATGCAAGGCAGTATAGGCAGCAATGCAAGGCAGTATGACAAGGCATGGCACTGCTGGGTAGCCCATACGACGCACTGCATGGCGGGGTGGTGTGGATGCACAATGAGATGGCCCATCCATTGTGTGGTGCAAATGGTGAGGCAAGGCAGCGGGATCAGGTAGTACACCAGTACGACTGACAAGGAGACAGACAGAGACAGGGAGACAAATACACAAGGCCGGCAACCCTTCACAGCATTTGGGCCATACCTCCAATGGAGGTCACCAGGCTGCGACCTTACTGGCTACACTCCATATATATATAGAAAATCATTTTATTGGGGGCTCTTACAGCTCTTATCACAAACCGTACATCCATCCATGTGTGAAGCACATTTGTAATATGTTGCCATCATCATTTTCAAAACATTTTCTTTCTGCTTGAGCCCTTGTTATCCGCTCTTTTTTCTCCTCCACCCTCCCTCATGATCTCTTGATAATTTATAAATTATTACTTTTTTGCATGTCTTACAATGACCGCTGTCTCCCTTACACCCACTTTTCTGTTCTTTGTCCCCTTGAGAGGAGGTTATGTGTCGATCATTGTGATCAGTACTCCTTTTCTCCCCCCACCGTCTCCTTACCCTCCTGGTATCGCTACTCTCATCTTGAGGGGTTTATCGGTCCTGGATTCCCTCTGTTGCGAGCTCTTATCTGTAAAAGTGTACATCCTTTTATCTAGCTGGATTTGTAAGGTAGAATTGGGGTCATGACAGTGGCGGGCAGTGAGGGGAAGAGGGAGGAAGCATTAAAGAACTAGAGGAAAGTTGTGTGTTTCGTTGATGCTGTACTGCACCCTGACTGGCTCGTCTCTTCCTTGTGACCCTTCTGTAAGGGTATGTCCAACTGTCTACAGAAGGGATTTGGGTCTCCACTCTGCCCTCTACTTCATTCACATCAAAATGATTTTTGTTTTGAGTCTTTGATGGCTGATACATGATCCCATCAACACCTCATGGTCACATGGGCTCTTGTGCTTCTTCCATGTTGCTTTTCAGCTAGATAGCCACTTGTTTATCTTCCAACATTTAAGATCCCAGACACTATATATTTTTATAGCCAGACACCATCGGTTTTCTTCACTACATTTGTTTATGCACCCATTT